GATTGAGGGGCCGCAAAGCTACACAAAGCAAGAAGAAACTCATTTTTTGACCTGCTGGTTTGGGAAGGAATCCAGAGATATTGCAATTTTAATGCTCTGTACCCAAGAGAATATCGCACTGTAACATCACAACAAATGTGCCCCCAGTTTGTCATTCTGCACGCCGTTTAGACTGTGTTTTGAGCCACGGAGAAAATAACCTTCTACAAGAAACTGTTTGTCGATCGTAATATTTGATGCCATCATTTCAGACGTGATGAAGTGTAGCAACTAAATCTACTGCCTCGGTTCAACCAGTTCATGTAGCACATCTGAGTGAAAGGGGTAAGAAGCTCGCTGTTTGCTTGAATCAGCTAAAAATATCTTGTTTTGATACCAAATATGGGGTGTTGGGACTTGTTTCTGATTCCCACAAGGACTTCATGGAGTTTATGTTTGAAGATCAATTCTGCGGAGACAAGAAGTTTCTTAGTGATTGTGAGTTCATCGGCTGACTATAATAAGCTGAAAACCTTGCCGAGCAGTCTTTGAAGACGCATTTGAGGTTGATGACTCATTGCATTAGCAGCCGGAGGTGTTGGAGTGTACCTGCTCAGTAGGACTACAGGGGTTCAGTCCAGTCACCAGCCTGCTAAGATGATCTCATGGGGACTGAGCATCAGCAGGGCATTTGTGTCTCACGCAAAAACAGAATGAATAAATAAATTATTACAAAACAAAAAAAATATTTTTTAAAGAAAGATGGATTTTCAAAAGAATTGCCACAGATTCCCTGACACGAGAACTGTACCTGCTTCGAAATACAAAGCGCTGACTCACTAGTCGTTATGTGGAAAGTATCTGTGCAACATTGGTGATTATCTTATGTATTTATTGTTGTTTTAATTGCTCATTTTACTTTAATTGATTCCACACATTGCTGCTTTCCTCAGGGCAGTTTCATTGAGAACAATGCTCACTTCTGTATAAACGGCAAAAATCACACTAACATCCATTTACATCTCGAAGCTGCCCCGTACAACTCCAGTCTGATTTGAACGCTCGACGGGAGTAGGAGGGGTTAAGGACATTGCTCAATAGGAACAACTTTTTTTCTCCCTCCCAGACATAACCTGGCAGTCTGCTTCTAACCTTCAGCCACCACTGACCTTTTTCTTGTGTTTAGCTCTCATCATACACAGCCAAGGAGTGGTTTGAGGAGTGGCTTGATGCCATGGCACTTTTTAAAATTCAAATTTAAATGCTTTATTGGCACGAATGTAACAAGGACAATATTGCCAAAGCGTGAAGTAATAATGAGACTATAGAGAAAAAGGTACAATTCATAACTTCAAGAAAATAGCAGCAGACAATTAACAATTAATCCTTGCTCTGTGTGTGTGCTTGTGAGAGACTGTGGAAGTGTGTTTTGATGTTGTTTGTGTGTGTGTGTACATGTGTTGATGTTCTCTTTTTCTTTCTTTCTCTCTCTCTCTCTCTCTCATGCCAACCATGTACGCATACATGTACTGGTAAGTTAAAAATAGACATTTTGCCATTTTACAATGAGCAATGGCGTTTGACGTTTCCATGACATCTATAATCACTTCCCTCAAATACCATATTCCATCTGACAAACACCGTATTCAGCCTTAGCCTCCCTCTCCTCTGAGTGGTTTCGCTCACTTTCAACAGACTTTTCCCCCTGCAAAAGAAAAAAAATCTAAACTGACATTTAAAGTTTCTGCCTGTTGGAACTTTTGAAAATCTTCAATAACTTACCAATTTTAAATGAGAAATAACAAACATCCAACTTTGAGGGATAACTAAGTCGTATTATGCATTGAATGTCTGCCTGCTGTACTAGCAGATTTCCCATCTAAGGCCTGGCATAATTCAGTGTGGATGTAATGAGAGATGGAAGTGGAAGTAGTATTCTGTATATTTCAACCATCTGTGACCAGCTTGAAAATTCCCTTTAATAGTTTTCTCTTCACTGCACAGGAAGAAAATGACTGTGTTGCGATTTGATATGTGTCAAGGAAGCCGAAGGCCTGCGATTTTACTTGTGTAAGAAGTGGATACCTTTTGCAAATGACAATTAAAAATCTCTCTGAAATTGCATCTCTCTCTTGGAAAAACGATACATTGTTAATGTTGCGGCTGTGCTTGTGCAGTAAATATTTCATCATATATTTTTATTGGCTAATATGGAACTGAAATAGTTTTCAAAGACATAAGACACCAAGAAACTAAAATGAACGTCACAGACTTTTTGGTGTAAATATGTCCTTTCAGCTCTGCGATTTTAGTCACTGACTGAAAAAATGGGAATTCTGATTCTAAAATGTCTTTACAAATAACCATTTCCTGAGAGTCTGTGTTGATATATTTTTGAAATGCATCCAGTGAGCAAAAACCATGGAGGAATATGTCTTCTGCTTTGGCGATGGCTCTGCTGGGTGTGTTGCTTTTTCCTTTTTTTAAGCTTTGTTGCCGTTAAACTAAGAGCGGAATGTAGGAGTAGGAATGAAATGTCGGCCCAAACAGATCTAAGTCCTTAAAGGTGGTCAGTCGTCTGGGCTTTTAAATAGCAGTGCAGCTGGGAGTGTTGTAGTGGCTACTTGTATTTATGATGAAGATACCGACACTCAAGTGGTGTGGCAGGAGATCCAAAATGTTACAGGAGCGCCCCATCATGTTTGAGGCCACATTGCCAGATGAGCTGAACACCTTTTGTGCTCTCCTCAACAAAGAGTCAGTTGTCAAGTCTTCCCCGTCTTCAAAGGACTGGCCACTGCCAGTCTGTCAGCCCTGTGACACCCCCGTTATGATGAAGTGCTTTGAGAAACAAGTTCTCCAGCACATAAAAAACATCGGAGCCAGCCTGGACCCTCAGCAGTTTGCACAAAGAGGCAACAGATCCACCTTCCACATATAATATAGTTTTTTTTTTTTTTTTTTTTTTTTAAATGTGGCAAAATGGGACTATAAACTGTATTTTGTTGCACAACCCTGTTGTACAATGACAATAAATTGATTTTGGAGTTCAGAGGTTAAGTGTCTCATATTGTACTGATATGTGACCCAAGAAATACTATCAATATGATTATATTAGACAGAAACTCTACCACCTTTATATCACAACGATATGCAACACATTGTTCTTAATGATGTACTAGTTTGTGTTGGTAGGTGTCATACTGAGCTGAAACTTCTGAATAACCACAAGTTTCAAATTTTGAAATGTTTTTTCCTGTCTTTTCACATTCCTTTGAAACATTGCATGACACCACATTGCAGATACAGACATCAGTATTCCGCCCATTTACTGTTAATTATTGCATTTAGAATCAGAGTGTCAACCCCAGAGTGTTGCCCAGGAACTGCAAATACAAATTAGCTGTAAAGCCCCAGTTAAATAAACTAATCATCTTCAGATTGAAAAGTCAGCGATTCTAGGAGGCATGTTTGGTTTTTGAAATATCTGGTATTTTCTAAAATATATCCAGTGTGATCAATTACATTGTGAACACATGTTTAAAGTTGGTACAGAGGGAACGTGTTTTCTAGGCTACATACATGCAGGGCTGCTGGAGAGGCTACACAGTAGTCGAGGTCTTACTTGCTGATTTCCCAGTACAAGTGATGCCCAATAAGTTCATCTGAGCAAGAACAACAAAGTCATGCTCCTGTACGATGCAAGTGACTGCCTAAGTGGCTCTGCTTCTGTAAACTACAGTGCATGGAAATGGTTAAAATCGAAATTGAAAATGTAAAGAGAAAAGCAGCGGCATCATGTCCTCAGAGGTAGAACACATGGAATTGGAATGCCATAAAATGCAGTTTTGCTCAAGGCAAGTTTGGTGGACAGATAACATCCAAAGGAAAATAAAACCAGCAAACAGGCAGAAGACTTCGTATGTTCTACATTTTTTCATAATATTTCACAAGCCCTGATTTAGCCCTGCAGTTGGAGCAGATGCTGTATGTTTGTGTGCTAGTTATCTTATTTTTGATTGATCACAAACTGCACTGTTGTGTGTGTGTGTGAAGCATGACGTAGCAGAAAAAGATCAATCTTAGTCAAATCTTTGTAAAAATGGATTTGAAAGGTGTTTTTTTAAAGTATATTAGGTAAAAAGACAGCTACCATGCACCCATTATATCACTTTTCTGTGTGAGGATCTGTCCATGGTCCTGATAGAAGAAGTCTGACTTTGTCACAACACAAACAGAGGGAGGCGCTGTTGCTCACCTTACAAAGCCGAGACAAAATCGTCACATAATGTTACAGCTCACTGCCAGTTACAGCCATTTATCTGGGTCTTGAAGATAGTATTTTCGTTGATATATTTTAATGTGTAAAAGGGCTCCGAAATTTAAACTACAAACATGTGGCAATCAAAATGGAATACTGGGAACAATGTAAACAGTCTGTATAGTGGAAACCAAAATGTGTCCGGTATTTAGCGATTCAGACTAAATGTCATGCAAATAGATTCAAGCTGGGGGTCAAATTACAGCATTGTGAGCGTTTACCTCATTCGGGACAACGATTGATGCAGTGCTTCCACGACTGTACACGGATATTGCTGTTAAAGCCTAAAACTTTATTTTTAAACAGGGGCATTCTACAAATTTTGGTAGTGGGTGGCAAAATTCAACATTATACAAATTAGTATACATGTGTGTGATGTATGTGATATAGGGCATTTCTGACAATAGAGCTGATTTCTGTTCAATGGTTCTTGGCGATGATTTAGAGACTTTTGTTTTTTCCCACCCAGAAGCCTGGAATCGCTCCATAAGCCTTTAGAAGCCTGTGTGTGTGTTGTGTGTGTGCGCGTGTGTGTGTGTGTGTGTGTGTGTGTGTGTGTGTGTGTGTGTGTGTGTGCGTAAGAGGGGGGAGCAACCGCGAAGACACCACCCAGCTCTGTAGGGGAGGGGAGGGTAGTGTGGAGGGGAGGGTGATGAGAGGGGGGGGTGGGATGCTCGTTTCAGCACCGCGGACAGCTCCGGGTAAAAGCAGCCAGCAGCGGCGGGTCGGTCCTCTCCGCTGCTGTGGGAAAAAAAAAAGAGATTTTTTTTTTTTAACAACCTCTTGAAGGCAGCAAATACGATACGTTTTCTCGAGGAGGGGACTTCATTTAATTCAGTCTGGATCAGGCGACATCTTTGTAGTGACAGGCTACAGCCAAAAAACATTACAGGACTCCCGATTGTTGCGAGTGCGATTCTCTGTGAAGTTTCTGCCACTGAACGGGATTCTACCTCCTCCCGCTCGTCGGCACAGCCCGGATAATCAGCCCGGTGTGTTAGGGAAGTTGAGGAGAAATCAGCACCATCGGCACCATCTCCAGTTTGGACTGTGTCCTAAGTTGTTGGACTTTTCTCGTTTGTCCAGTTCTTCTGCTTAATGTCCTGGCTGTTTGTGTGCGTGTGTGTGCAGAAGGTTTTCTATTTGTCTATTAAGTAGGACTTTTCCGTTCGGTGCTATATGCTTTACAGCCTCCACGGTGCCCCCCACCCCTCCACCCTGTAATGCTTTTACATTTGCCACTGAAGCACGGCTTTGATGCGCCCGGATACATTTCCTCTTTCTCGCAGCTCTGATTCTTTTCCTCCTCCCAGTCATCCATCTCAGCCTTCTTTTAATTAAACATTCACAGGGGGGACGCCCCAGACTGCCATCTTCTCCCCCCCTCATTTTCGACAACTGCAAAATACTAGTAGGTAATAATGGCCATGGATCGGTGAAGAATGCATATTCAGATTGTTGTAGGGTGAAGTTGGAGGCCCCCGAATCAACACAAAATAACCGAGGACACAGCTTAGGAACTTTTAACATCCTGAGCCATCGTTTGTTCTTTCCCTCGCTGAGACTTGCTGTAATAGGCGTGTAGCCTGTTTCGAGCTATTCATGACGGAAACGATGGCGCTGAGTGGGAACTGTAGGACTAACACCAAAGAGCAAGCATCCGTTCAGAACAGTTTCCCAGATGTTGTTGAATTAAACGTGGGGGGCCAGGTTTATTACACGCGTCACTCAACTTTGGTGGGTACCCCGAATTCATTACTCGGCAAGCTGTTCTCTTCCAAAAAAGATGCATCGAATGACCTGGCGAGAGACCCCAAGGGCCGTTATTTCATCGACAGAGACGGCTTTTTATTCCGGTATGTGTTGGACTACCTCCGAGACAGGCAAGTCGTCCTCCCGGACCACTTCCCGGAGAAAGGGAGGCTCAGGAAAGAGGCGGAGTACTTCCAATTGCCTGACTTGGTGAAGCTGCTGACCCCTGACGATATCAAGCACAGCCCGGACGACTACTTCCACAGCGACTATGAAGATGGGTCCCAGGGCAGCGACCACCGGCAGTGTCCGCCTCCCTCTCTTGTCCCCGCGGACAGAAAGAGCGGCTTCATCACGGTGGGGTACCGGGGGTCGTGCACCATGGGCCGAGAGACTCAGACGGACGCCAAGTTCAGGAGGGTGCCTCGGATACTGATATGCGGTCGGGTGGCCCTCGCCAAAGAAGTTTTCGGGGAGACCCTGAACGAGAGCCGGGATCCGGACAGGACCCCGGATCGGTACACCTCCCGGTTTTACCTCAAGTTCAAGCACCTGGAGAGGGCTTTTGACATGCTGTCGGAGTGCGGTTTCCAAATGGTGGCCTGCAACTCGTCAGTCACGGCCTCGTTTGTCAACCAGCACACAGAGGACAAGATCTGGTCGAGCTACACAGAATACGTCTTCTACCGTAAGTGGCACCTTTGCTTTTTATCACAGCAGGTCATCGTTCACGTGCGTGCACACAAAGTTGGAGTCACCGCTAGAAGGCGCACTTGTTTTGCTGGTCCTGCGTGTGAGAGAGACATGTGGTTATAGGAGTGAATGGGCGTTTCTAGCACAGGACATCCCCTGTTTTGAATGAAGTGGGTGTACCAGACACTTCAGTGTGGTGGCTGTTAGAGACCTTGTGAACAAAGCTGCTTCCACTTGTATATTTAAACTACAGTTCCTGGAATTGTGTAACTTTTTTTACTTTAAAAAAAAAAAGCATTTGCTACATTTTCATGCAAACACAAATGTCAAACTTACACGCTCCGTAAGTGGAATAAGTTTTGTCTGAGCCTTGTGGAACGATAACAAATTAAATAAAATCACTCCTGGCAATTGGGGTTAAGCCAAGGTGTTGCTATCGCTCCCTGTAAGCGATGAAACCTTATCAGCAAACATGAGGGACTACTTCATGTTCTGATCACAGTGTGTTCTTCAAATCTATTACAGCATGTTGCAGCATTCTGCACTCTATTGCAGGCTAGTTTATATTTCACAAGATTTAACTCGATTTTGATAATTTCACTCCCATCTGAGACACGGCAATAGTCAGAGCAATGATTTGTCAACGCTTGCCATTTCTCATCTTGGTGCAATTTTCTACTCCACCTCCCGTCTGCTTTCATCCATCCCATCCTTTCAACTTCGTGCATTTCCTTCTGGCTTTTCTGATTCATTACATTTCTCCATCTTTGCTCACTGGCTGGTAGGAATCTGGCAAGAGCAGTAGTGAGGAAGAGATCGTGACTTTTAAATGAGCTTCCGTGAGATTTTATGATGCAAGAAAATAATCCATATTCTCTGATATAATCTGTCACAAACTTGATTGCTGCCATAAAATAGACAGTGTTACACTGTGTTTGTGCTTAGCTCTTAGTACCTATGCACTACTTGGATAGAACAAAACTTTCTTTGGAATAACCGCTGAATCTGTAGCAGAGGCCATTTCTGAGATGAAATATTATGAAAATACTAAAAACAGGCCTCTAAAAATGAAGCAAAACTCTTTATTTTTCTTGCATAACCAACAAGTAATAAATTCTGCTTTTTTTATAATTAATCTGACACTTAATTAACTGTATTGAAGTGCTGTAATAAACTAAATCCCTTTGGCTTTCCAACATAGTTGCAGCTCTTTGTTTTATTTTCTGTAAATGTTTTCTTTTGCCCACATAAGCTCTGTGAAATGTCTTTTTTCAAGTATAAAAATGACCCTGTTTTAGTCACATATATTATGTACCACAGCTACCACAGCAAAACCATTCAACAAAAATGTAGACTTTCTAGTATTTGTGTTGTGTGGTGGGTTTTTATGTTAAAATTCCCTAACATTAAGTCTTGTTACATAACTGAGATACAGTATAGCTGCAAATAAAACCGGAGAGGCTGCCAACAGTACTGAGATCAATGTGTCAAGGCTGCTATCATGATATTGGTTAATAACATAGAGTAATAGTTTCTCTCAAAGTTACACTGGTTTTAGAAATATGGTTTATTTTCCCTTAAAAGATCGGAATTTGAAAAGTGATTTGTGACACATACTTCTCTCTAGTAACACTTGTTTTACTGAAATCTTTGGGACTGAGTAGTGGGTTTCATTGTTATTTGAATACAAGACCACTACAGGCAACTTCCCTTGTGGTCTGTATTTTTGGGTATTGATGCAGTTTCATATTCATAAGAAATGTTCTACCATCTAACCCCTTTTTTTGTTTTTACTACTGGCTTTGCTGCATGATTTCAGTGCCCAAGCGTCCAGATGTTTGGCAAGTAAAATCAGTTGTGTTGCAAACATTCTTAAAAGGATCATTTGTAGTTTGTCAAGTAAAAATAGTTGTGTTTATAATGTTATAGTGTTATCTGGGAATTCTTCACATCCCCAAAATAATACTTGTTATTCATCTTGTTCCAAAATGTTCTTGTAATGATTGGGATGGGGGCCAGGACCACTGCTTAGATACCACGCATACAGTCACCACCACTTTAGGGGAAATCACTGCCAGCCCCATAAATCACCGATGTCAAAAGATCACATGGCCACAGAGCAAACAGGAGTAAAAAGAAAAACACATGAGAGCAATTCGCTGAGCTATAGCTCCATTTTAAATGAGCTCTGCATTAATGGCCTGCATGAAGCTATTACAATGACTGGATGGCTCTAGGCTCTTATGACCCCAGAAGTAGCACTAACAAGCCAAATCAAGTGGTGGTGGGGGCTAATGACACGCACACTACACTTACACACACACACACACACCTTGCTTGTGCAATATCTGACAGTGTGTCTGTGGGCGGCCTCTGCAGGCCTCTCCTTGCTTACTGGCAAACAACAACTGCTTCCTGGCTTTGTTGACAAATGTTCAGCTTGTTAGAGGGCGCACTCTCAAAGGCGAGGGCACAGTGGCAGATGTTTTGGGCACACAAAAGCCTACACGCACTCACACAGGGGCAAAAGTGTGTACAGAAGCTCAGGTAACCGGGCACAATCACAGAGGCGCACACACACATGAACAGAGGTTTGGCAATGCACACACACCAAATCGTGCAGGGAGTTTGTTAAATGCTGCAGTCACCCAGTGGATTAAATGTAGTCACTGACAGTCTCTTGTTTATCTGTCACATTTTTGGCGAGCTACTCTTTCCCTTCTCCCCATCTTCCCTTGTCGTCTCGTCTCTCCCTCTTCTCCTTTCATGTCTTCTCATTTTGGTCTAGTCAATCATACCCGGCTTTTCTCTCTCGTCTCGGTTCCCGCCCTTCCCGCTTTCCAGCTGTATTTGGCTCCGTGCGCCACAGGGGCAAGGAGCAGCGCGGCGGTGCCAGTTGCCTTTACTTGCCTCACTGCTCCGTCACGCCTCCTGTCTCGCTTCTTATTCATATCTCTTGCCTGTCCATCTCCATGATTGTTTGTTTACCTTCATCTTCGTCTTTCTCACATTTTAGTCTTTCGTCTGCCTCTTTGTGTTTGCGCCTCTCCTGATTGTACAAATGCCAACGAGTCTGTCTTTCCTATTTGTTGGCGTTGTATTGGTCATATTCAACATACCCTAAATTGAGCTTTTAGGGAAGATTAGGGAAGCTCTTTGTTATTCAACTTGACAATGCCCCTTTGCACAAAGAGAGGTCCTTAAAGATGTGATTTTCCCATCTTGCCTTGACCTTAACCCTCCTGAAATCACACTCATTTTAGGATTAATTGGAACAACAGCTGCGAGCCATGCCTTATCCCAACGTCAGTGGCCATCCTCCCTAATGCTTTTGTGGCTGAAAGGAAGCTAATCCCTGCAGCCACACTTTCCATCTTGTGGAAAGCCTTCACAGAGGAGTGGAGGCTGTTTGGTGTTAATGCCAATTATTTTGTAAAGAGATGTGCAACAACCACACATGGGTGTAATGCGCATCTTTCCACATTCTTTTGACACATTTGATGTGCTGAAAAGTGGTTAACATCATCGACAAGAAGCTGTCATCAGCACTAGTGGTTGCCAGTCATCTGCCATTAACCGTAACCCTGCTTTGCTAAAGTTACCTGCTGGACAGTTAGCGAGCTAATATGACCAAAACCTCGCTGTTTGTTTTGGTCACAGCAATCTTTTTTTTTTTCCGGGTATCTCATTATTATACATTATAGACACATTGATGCCTTCATGTGGCTTCTATAATGGAGCTATACATGTTTAGGGTAACGTGCTTAAGGGCACAACAACAGTAACTCACTTTCCATTTCCAGGTTGACTGACACAAATTCGTCAATTTCTACTTACAAGTTTCATGTTTTTCTTGCCAGAAGCCAGAACCACCTTTATCTCTTTAAATCCTCTATTTGCTTGTTATCTATTGCCCTGGATCCTACACTCTTCTGGTTGGACGCATCAATCTGTTTCAAATTCAGGATGGTCTCTGAGACCCCAGGCTAAAATATATTTACCAATTTGTTGCATGGCTAGAGTGACTGATAATGAATCATCACTGTTGACAGTTGGATGTGGTACCGCAGGGCCAGACAGAGCCTACTGCACCAGAAACATTGAACAACACAACATCATCTGTGTGGCAAAAAACAGGAAATATTTATTTCAAAAGTCAACTGAAAGGATAGGAAAATGACATTTTTTGGCTCAGGATGTATCTTTCCAGGCTTTATCTTTTTTTGCACCTCAGCCGAACATGCCAGAGTGAAGTGTGTGTCATTACAAAAGGCCATTATTATATGACCATGTGTGCTGGTGTGTGACACACTGTGCCATTAGCTTGTTACACGCAGATGGGTAACTCCTTGTGTAGCAAATGTGTTTTGGCAGGTGGGAAACAAGGGGCCGTGGTTATGGTAAAGTTGTTTGTGTGTGTGTGTGTTAATGCTTGACCCATGTTGCACTACCTGAGGCATTGGCACTCCCGTTGAGCCACTGGCTAAACACACCTGCACACCAACCAACCCCTCACACACACACACACACACACACACATACACCCACTTGCAGACACGCACGCACACTCATCACCTTATGAAACTACATCACACTCTTCCTGCGAGGTGCTCTCAGCCCCGTCGTTGACGACATTAGCAGCGGCGGTCCCATGCTGCAGGCCTGTAGGAAGTGATTAGCCGAGGAGCGGGCAGGCCGTGACAGCTCTGAGGAGAGTCTTGATAGGGACAGCTGCTACCCTGGCTTCAGCTCCACAGGGGAGACCACCACCACACACCTTAACTCTGCGTTATTCAGGCTGAGACAAAAATAAAGGAGAGAGGAGCCCATGGACAACACCGTTTAATTGATGAGAGACTCTTCATGGCTCCCTTTTGATTTTAACTACACACCTTTAAGTTTTGTGACTCCAAATCGGGCCAGGGTAGTAAAGCGGGTACGCCAATGGCCTCTCCCCCCCTTCCTCCTCCTTGCTTGGACCATGGCCAAGTCCGC